TGAGCTTTTAATGTAAGCAACCACTTTATCGATCTTGGTAGACAGATCGCTGACTGCATTCAGAATCATTTTGCCAAAGATTCACAACCTTTTGCTACCATGTTTACAGAAACCCAAACTTACAGTTGACTAACGTTTGTCGAAGTACATGGAAGAGGTGATGAGAAAAGCTCCTCACCGTAATGTAACCTTTCATAATCTCAATTACAACTCTGTCTAGCTGTTGTTTGGTTGATAGATAAATAGGTGGAGACATTTCTGAAGTTGCACCATCCATAACTTGTTAATAAAGAAACCTTGACTATACCGTTGGTTGTACACTGGACATAACTACATAAGGCAATAGCTGATTGTGGGATAGTATTGCTACACTGCTCTGCAGCTACGGCGGTCCCTACTTCGCCGACAACAACTGAACTGCAGTTCTCATAGTCAGTGGTCGTTAACTGATACTTTTTATCAAACTCAGTATTTAACTTCTTCGATTGATTTGGGACAACCCATCAATATTAATTCTCTACTAGCTTTAGCCCATCTTTTAGCACTTTCATTAAGCCCTAAATTATTAGTCTAAGAGAAACAACTAACTGCAGATAGATTGAACAAAATAATTAATCGAAATTTTGGACAGTGCAAATAATCCATCTGCATGGAGTGAGAATTTTGAAAAAGTGGTTAAAAGCCGATGACGCACTGCCTCGTAACTGTTTGACGTTCTAAAACAAAACCTCAAGATCGTTAGTGTATTCGTGACCAAAGTTCATAATAATATTTAAAATAATACTTATTAATTGTGACTTCATCTTCAAAGGATTAAAAATGCAGTGGTGATGAAATGTTTGTCTGGAAAACTGCGCAACACAGATTTTGAGGGTTTTCCCCAAAATTTCCCCAAAACTTGGGAGATTGGGCATTCTGTGATCTGGTAGTAATGTTTGACTAGAAACATTCAGCTAGTGGTCTACCTTAAATCTAAGAAAGGTAGCATCGATGCAGAGAATTCATTGAGTTATTTATGGTTACTGTGGTTTTTGAATCCAGGTGTGTGACATTTCCGCATGACCAAGAAAGTTCGGTGACTGTTGTAAGGTCACTAGACGATCGCTATGCAATCGAAACATCTACGGTGATTACGTAGGAGTCAACCTTAACTCCTGGACGTTTGTAGAGAGACATCGAAATTGTTTGGAAGGAGAAGGTTAGTAAAAAAGAACGGCAAGTATATAGGTCGTGAAAATAAAGATAATAGTGCAATAACTACTTATGCCACTCCTTCATACAATGTTATACGTTTCGAACCCAAAATACAATCCCGAACGGTTATTTTTCACTAACAACAAGAGTATGTTACTTTACCTAGGTTATCATGGCTTGTGTCATCTTGTTTAAGTACACTTTGTAATCTCCGCTTATTACAAAATATATCCTGAGTGATGGTCAGTTGCTTTCTTAACCTTACTCCTCGTATTTTAAGGCTCGTAGGTATGACACAAGGACGACGATTTTCTCTCCTGAAGGTAAGTTGTCACATTAAATGGCAATATAGGTTCTGTTTAAGGACGTTTGTACCAAGTGGAGTATGCAATGGAAGCGGTGGGACATGCAGGCACATGTTTAGGGGTCGTAGCAAAAGATGGAATAGTCCTGGCCGCTGAAAAACGCTTCATAAATAACCTTTTGGACGAAACGGTTTTTTCCGAGAAGATCTATAAGATCAATGACGACATAGCCTGCGCCGTTGCTGGTATAACGGCTGATGCTACGGTTCTCATAAATGAGATGCGACTTATTGCTCAACGGTATGAAATCTTTCGTGTATTTATGTATATCTATTCTTAACTGGAGGTTTTTACAAGCCTAGAGTTTGAGCGGTATCGTAACCACGTTTTCTGTATATCCATGTTTCGGTAAAAAAACATAAGTAACACAGCACTTGATTTGGTCCAGCTTTCATTTTAATCACCCTGTAGCTAAGTAGTGATGTGAGATACATGCTGTAGATATATTCTAGTGCTCCTCTGCCATTATTAAAGGCTTTCTGATATATACACTTTTCTATACAGAATAACTCTCCCCATGATCTATGTATATTACTTTCAATGTGAGTGCCGTATAGTTCGGTTGTTGTTCGTGTATGAGTTGTGTTTGCTGACTACTTACAAACAAATGTCTATCTATAATTTTTTATGGTTTATGAATTACTGTTCAACATAATTTTGTTACCGTATACACATGTTCTGTCTCTTAATGACTATAAGAAGAGGGGTGGTTGCTTCTGACACCAAACAAACTATAGAAAAATCACTCTGCATCAGCTCCTAAGTATGTGTAGCTCAATTCCGAAGGCTTGGGATCGGCGTAGTAAATAAACTAGACGTCCGCTCTAAAATTCAAACTGTAGTATGACTTGAAAGTTCTTTAGGTGCCGAAATTGTTAGCGGATCATATACACAGTACTAACTGTAGTTCTTTAAACTGAGCTTTTTACGTCACCACTCACTTAGTTGGCTTTTGAGGGTCGATAGACCCAGTAAATCCTAAGTTTGGTCGTTTTCCACTTTTTGGTTGTCTATCATAGTTTCGAGAGCTGATGACCTTTTGTGGGATATTTTAGTTATTGTATCCTAGTGCTGGTTATGTGGATAAACCAAACGATCTAACACACCACCTGCCCTAGTGGTTAAAATAAAATCCTATATTTTCTTATGTGGGAGATATTTAGTTGTAATTAAAATATATAACTGGCAAACTCATGAAGTGGGTTCGAGCCCACCTAAATATGTCTTAGCGAATCTTTGAGGTTAGCTCAAATATATACGGAAGAACTTAGCACTTACTTTTTTTATTCAAGTCAGTCGACGTTAATCGTACATATGCTTTCCATAATTCTGTATACTACAATTCGTTTGTTGTGACCTACTAGGAATCGTCGATAACTTTATCTTTAGAAATCGAGTACACGGTCAATGCGCTGTTCTCAGTCAGCATGACTCATTTCCGTTGCGCGTAAATATACAAAATCTCAGAATGTTGTATATTTAGTAAAAACGGATTTTTACTCAGATTGACGTGTGCGAATAGGAAGAAAATAACGGAGACTACTACATTTGAAAAGTTCACAACTTGTAATCCCAGCTACTCCAAAGTGGCAGTTTTCATAACATTTAACCATGTGTATATTCACAGAGAGCATAAAGCTACACGGTAAATAAGTATGGGTTTGGCTACATCAGGGTCCTAACTAAATTACTAGCAAAGACTGAGTGGACTTCCCAACACTAGCCCCATCTTCCACTACATCACGCTAAACCAACTTATAATACTTTGAATCCATGAAGCCTAGGGTAGCAATATAAAAGGTTAACGCTGAAGTTACTGCATGTCTGTTACTGTTGGGTCAAGTCTATTGCTGTACTATTAACTAATGCAATCTCTTGCATATGTCATCTTCGAGTACTTTCTTCACATAGTACAAGTCGGTGCAACTGTTCTGTGGAAGTAGACTGATTATTTTCATCTACGCAGATAAAGCATTGGAAGCTTCTATCTGAAGTTTGTGCTGATGATGTCGTTCAGAAGAACGATGAAAGCCCCACGACCAAACCATCCAGCTCAGAGAACAAAACTCCACCAAAATCATCCACCTGAGCTACAAATCTTCACCATCTCATTGGAAGCTAAAGCTGATTCTTATTATTCAAGTCTTACCTCATAGGTTTAAATAGTTAAATCCATTATTGTGTACCTTGAATTAGTAGTGAGCTAGTTACCTATATTATTGATACACATTAAACAGTATACTTAAAGACTGTTCGCTCATCCCAAATAGTAGGTAAAGACTAAATTTTTTCACTTAAAGCGACTGTAAATAATATTATCCTAGGTCAAAGTTACTTGCGGTAGCCACCGTTTGACGGAAGAATATCATCCTTAACTTCTCGTATCTTCATTGTAGATATCTCTTGTCTTATCAAGAGCCTATGCCAGTAGAACAACTTGTGTGCCACATATGCGATCTTCAACATGGTTATACTATGTATGGTGGTAGAAGACCCTTTGGTGTTTCCATGTTGTTCATTGGATGGGATAAGCGTTATGGTTACCAACTATACCAGACGGATCCATCGGGGAATTTTCTGGGATGGAATGCTACATGTATTGGGTCAAATTCAACTGCAGCCGGCTCCATATTGGAACAGGATTACAATGCAGATGCAACAGTCGAAGAAGCCACAAAGTTGTGTGTAAAAGTCCTGTATAAAACAATGACAATGTCTAAACTGACTTCGGAAAAGGTAAGTCCTTTTTCAGTAAAGATTCTTATTTCCTGTATCTGGAATTGTGACATTGTTTTTTTTACTTAAGGTTGAAATCGGAGTTCTACAAAGACGTAATGACAAAACCTACGTTCGTCTTATCAATCAAAGTGAGGTCGATACTCTGATAAAAACAGTTGAAGGAGAAGAAACTCAGAAGAAGTAATACTTGTGTACAGTCATTTCTACGCTTTATAAAACTTTTTGAGAGCAATATGTTATTCTTTATTATTTGTTTGATGATAACAAGTTTGTTGGATTATTTTACCACATCTAAAGCGTAAACATTATAAAATGGATATATGTTGATACTCGATTTTTATCAGTCTGGAAATTATTTCGTATCACTATTATTTATCGGAATAGCCTTGAAGAAGAGCTATTCATAATGTTGGAGTGACTTACAAACATGTACAGAACCTTAAGTGGTCGAAATATTGCATTTACTCCCCTGATAAATAACACGAGTTAGGATCGGTAAATACAGAGTTTCATATGGTAAATCGGCATAACCGACTGTGTTCGGATCGGATAGTTGCTCTAACAGAGTCCTCATTTTTAGATAATCTACTCTTGGACACTAATCATTAAAAGTTATCAGTTTTTAACATTCAAGTCGAATAATTCTGGATAAACTGGTGGTTTTACTTCCACTAGAAGTTAACGTATCAAGAACAGCTTCATAAATCATATTAAATTGTAATAAACATGCATAAAAAACACGTGATTCAGCATTAGAAAGACAAGTAACGTTTTAAAACAACAAAACTGTCTAAATTAGAAATGGTTTTAATAAAATAATAGGCATAAAGTTTGGAATTAGGCGAAATTAAATGGCTCTAACGTTTGTACTGGATTTGGACTTGCGAAATTTTCTAACCGATGGATAATATTACAACGGAACCCTTCGGCGAATAAGTAGCTTTTCACATAAACTGACAACTTTGTGGAACTTACTGATTGGTAAAGTTGAGGATAGGTTCTCTTCTGACTTCAAGCAGTTCTATATTTAAAATAGGTAAGAAATATTCATAAACACAGATATTAAATTTCTTCCTAGAAAAACGACTGTTGAAATATGAAGGACGAGAAAGTAAGTGCTTAAGGCAACTAACAGGTCGCTTTTACAACAAATCTCACTAGCTTTTAAGCAGCATTTTATTTGTAACACCGATCGCAGCAGACATCTTGATGTGGTAATTGTATTTACACTGACGACCCACTCGAGTTTTGTTGTTAAGAACACTTGTTATCCTCAGCAAACCGGTCCCCGAATGAAAAGACAGTGAATACAAGATTTAAGGACGATCTTACTACAGGGTAGCGAAATTGGGTTGTTCTACAAAAACAACCACAACTCTTAGTGACACTGCCTTCCCAAAATAAGAGCAGTTTAAAAGGAATGACGCTGAAAGTAACACATATCACCTATCTAATGGACTCCCAGTGATGGCTGCAAGGCCTGAAAAATACACAGTAAACAAATGAGGAACTACTCCCTAAAACTTCATGTGACTAGTCTCGAGTTGACAATCCTGGAGTAACAAGATCTTCACTTCTAACCTTGTTCAGTTCCCAGGTCTTCCAAAACCAAATATCTTTTCACAATGTAAACAACCAAAAATTGTCAGTCGCCTGCACATCTGTAACAATATTCAAATTAATCCTGCTCATAACCGAATCCTATTATTTCTTTTTTTCGTTAAAAGCCATCTCTGGTGTCAAAAGCTACCAATACTAGCAATCCGAGCCCATAGAATGTCATTACTAATATCTTTGAACGACGCTTCAAACTACATACCAGAGCCTTTAATGTCTATAACTCGAACCGGGCGGCAGGGTTTACTAGCCAAGACTACAAGTCCTGTGGAGATGCATGCTGCATCAGAAACCCCCCATACAGGGTAATCACAAAGCCAGCACGATACTTTCGCGGATCTGGAGATTCGTTAGAGACTTGTGGTTTAGGAAGTGTGGGTATACCATTGAGTTCGAAAGTAGGTTGGGGACCCTCGAGTGACATCCCACTCGGTTGTCTTTTTTCTGTTGTCCGGTTAAACAGTAATGAAAATCTAGCAAGAATCAGGACGTTCCTTACTTAAGTTCCCACTGACTACAGACCGAGTCAGTAAAGCTATTCATTCCCTTCCAAAAAGCTAAGTACCCAGTTGGTTGAAAATATAAAGTTACTAAATAGCCCAATCTAATTTACCCAGATGTTTAGTAACTTATAAAAAGTTGTGGTTTGGGTCGATGACAGTATGTTTTCTCTACGTCCTTTATTTCACAACTTTATTTAGCTCCCTTTCAAACTTGACATAGTCATTAAATCTTACCTCTAACCTTCTAGGATTTTATTTCCTACCTGAAAATAAACAACAATGGCTTATTGCTGTATATGCTAATAAGGTATGGGGACTGCTAAACATTTCTAGAACAAATATTGGTTTACCATCAGCTTCCGATCTGCAAATGTTACTTTACGACTACTCATAGTTTTTCAAAGATGTATTGTTTTTCTTCCATAGTCAGTCACGTACATTAAGAAACTAGCAGCTGTTACAAAAAACGAAGGGAGGAGGCTGGTCGAGGAACTAATTCTTGCTAATTTATTCCGAAAAGCTCAAGAAATAGGTGCTACGAATGCTGATTATTCTTGAGGAATACAATACTCTCGTTATACTTCGATGTAAATAACAATATGATCTTATGATTTTTAACATTAATGTGTACTGGTTTTCTAATGTATTCATATCTAACTAGACTTCTTGACATGATAAGAGTGTAGAGAACAATTGTAGCTTGGCTGATATCATGCACTCTGGTTTTTTAGGATCGCTTAAGTGATTTGAATAAGATGAAAGTGACTTTTAAAAAAGTGAAATTTTGGGACTAGAATTATCAATTGCATTACCAACAAGGATATTTTGACAAGGGAGTGTGATAAATGTTGGACTAGCAATTAGGCTAACTGAAGTAACTCGTCTTCTTTCCTTGAACCAAGACCATGCTTGTCCAAACGAACTATCGTTCCAATCAGATATTATGAGGGGATTTTCATATAAATGACCTACAAGTGAAAAAATGTAGCGTTAACATCAGTGTCTTTTTAACGTATGAATATGTACAATCTAATAAGTAAATATCACATACATGTATTCATTATTACAAAAAGTAAGACTAGTAACTTATACATTTACAGTTCTGGACGTATTTATTATTGGGCCATGGCCAAAGAACACATTACGTCTGGAAATAGAAACAGATATGAAAAGAACGAATGACAACTGGGAAGAGTTGGTCAGGATTGGATGGAGAGTGCTGGTGGGCGGCCCATGTCCCTCCACGAGGAGTAACAGGCGTAAGTAGTGGTTTATCTGTGTAGTGATGATAGGTTGTATTGAAGAGTCCCAAAGTACTCATCGGGGAAGTCCATAAGGACCGAGAGAACGCTGGGAGACAATTTATCCAATCAGCGTTGAAGCTTGTTAGAAACATGTAGGAAGTGAAGAGTCACGTTTCTGATTGGATAGTTACCTATACTGTTACTGAATTTAGTATGGTTCCAGAAGTCCAAGGTCTTTTGTAATCCTAGAAAAGCCTTCCTTTTTTTGTACATGAACTAAACCTGGAGTAAGGCTTTTTTTCACATTTGACATTTTTCTCCTATGTTTAAGTTACGTATACATTTATTAAAAGCAGCTAGAAAATCAAATCGAACGTTCATTCAGTAGAATTATCAGTTTGGAGTTTAAAGGAATGGAAATTTCACATTTTAGTTGGAAAACCCATCATCTCTAGAAGTTACTTATGGTTACCGGAGTTTTTAAGACTTTGAACATTACTACGAAAATAGACCCACGATAAATACATTCTTCCTCCTCTAAGATCACTCTTTGTATTTCTAACAATCACGGTTCTTAATAAACGTACCTAGTAACTGCACATTGAGATCAATTTTCCTATGTATTCCTTATTTGAAGATTGGTATTAGGTTACCTTGACCGAACTGAACGGTCACTGCAAACCAAATGCCTAGACTAGTAAGCTATAGTTTGGTTTTTACTCAATAAGTGTGGCTTATATGCTAAACTCGGAACAGCATCAGTTTTCTACCAAAGAACGCATCTCGATACCGTGAGTATAAAAAAAAACATGGCACGAACTGAGAATTTAGCCCCTCTTCTGATAAATTTGGACCAAAAAATATGCGACCACCAGATTCTTTAAAATTATCAAAACCGGTGGATGTTTATAATTTGATACTGAGCAAAAATAATCACGGCTGGAATACTTCTGGTGCTGTGTCTTAGATCAAAGCACCAAACGTTGTGCGTTCGAACCCCAGATAATAGCTATATCCACAGCATTCTAGAAATAATTTCCACTTAAAGTCAGTCTTATATAATTGAATTATTTAAATGATGAATTAATCTTTAGTGAAACCAAACAATTTACACTAATGATATGTTTAGTTTAGAAGCAAACTATTAAAGGTACTAATATCTCAACGAATTAATCAAAATTATCATCTCAAATATTTTTTCTATCAGATAATCTTATTCAGAAATAAAATTATATCCTATCTTTACCTTTGTATAAATCAAAATGTCCAAACTGGTCATTGTTATAGTGATCATCGTCATACATAGTTGGAAGTGACATTATAATATTAGTAGAGTTTTTATGACTTGGTTTATTCGTAGAATTTATAGAAGTATCTTTTGTTCGATGAGCATTACCTAAAGACTGTTTCGTCATCACACCTGTAAATGCATTTAGAATTTCTGAGACCTTTGATGGTTTCGATTCCTGATACAAATTTATTGTATTTACAGATCTAAATTTACATTTACGGGTGAATATAGGTGAGAATTCTTGCTGACTGGTCCGCGGACTCGCATATTTACTCCCTACACTATCCTTGAATCGTCGAACAGGACTTGTGTGTAGACTTGCTCCAGCAGACTTAACAGACCAAGGTGATGGGTGCAATGTTGGTATAGCATCCATGTGGATGTTTTGAAGATGCTCAGACTCTTGGTTGTTAGGAATGGTTCTATCTAAATGGGTCCCTGGTAAAAAATCGTAATGGTCAAGATTGGTTGATTTACATGCCTCCTGAATTAGAAAGGGATAAACAGAAAATATCAAACAAAAGAAATCTAGTCAGTATCAACGTAATTAATTTAAATCAAAATATATCTATGATTGGACAAATGTGGTACCAAAACCTATGAAAAATTTGGTTGAATAAACATTTAGGTCAAGCTATACTTTTACCTGATAGTCGTGGAAAGAACGTGAACAATTTCCTCGTCATAACAAATAATCTGACAAGATAACTGTGATAAAGTTGGGGCTTTAAAACTGACTTTAATGCATAATAGTACTGGATTGTTAAGTAGTGAATAGATTTCTATGAGATATGTTGAATTCATCGAACCTATAGTACACTACAGACTGATTCTGTCAACAATTTAGTGTATTAATATGCAAAAGTGCCTGTGTGGAATATTTTACTGTCTGTACTACGTAGTGTTATATCTTCGGATTATTAAAAATGTTTCTGAATGAAAGCTTATCACTTCTATTAACTGTTTAGATTATAACACATACCAGTTGACAGTTAGTTGCACTATTTGATAAAATTGGACAATGTATATTCATGTACGTAACGAGTAATTGAATGAGTAACAATATTCACTAATAAGTAAAGATGGATAGTGGCTAGCTGTGAAATCCAGGACGCGCGTCTCGTCCTATCTATGACTCATCAGCTGAGTGTACCTACAACTCTGAGATACAGGTACACCCAGCTGATGAGTCCTAGATAGGACGAGACGCGCGTCCTGGATTCCACTGCTAGTCACTATCCATCTTTGCTTATAATGCTTGTCAATTAAGGCAATGCGCACAGTATTCACATATACCAATAAGAGACTGATCAATTGCAGTCCTAAACATCAATAGGAAGATTCAAGTAAACAATAGCAAGTGAATTAATATTGGCTAGTGTTTTGAATAATGAAACATGTGTTTGGAAGACTACCTTTATGAAACTACATGCTATTGCTGGTTAAAACCATCAACTCAGAAAACATTAGCAACTGAGCTCACAAAACAACGCTCAGATCTTGCCACTGTTGTTCTTTTAAACAACGAAGACTAAAATTATTCAGACGCATAAAGGTCACTAAATCCTAAGAGCGTTAAACTTGCTGGTTTTAAGAGAGGTGAGACATTTACCAGGAAAATGTATGATGACTATATTTCTATTCACTAACTCGTGTTATAGATAAAAAAATTAAACACCAGGTTTCCGTAAGTAATAGTGACGAGTCAAACTGCTAGTCACATTGTGCAGACCACGTAAATTCAACATGCCTTACGTAACGATGCTATAAAACGGAGACTACTTGAGATAAAATATTGGAAATTTGCATTTTGGATAGTAAAAGTTGTAGACTATTACTTTTGAGTAGAAATGGTATCATAATTGTAGTTGACAATCTCGTCAATACTCCAGTCCAAATGATTCATTATAGATTATGACAATACAATGTGAAAATAAGACCACAAATCTTTCCTCTATTCAATCGTTATTGCACTGATTACATATTTGGCTTTTAAGTAGGAAGTGATACAAGAAATGTTATTTAGTTTGAATCAATGATATGTAAGACAGGAATTAATTCGAAATATAACTCATCAGGAATTACTATTTCAAGCATGTATAGCTGTGGATGGACTGGCCAAATCAGATATTCGCGTCCTACCTCATGTTATCGCATTCAATGTGATGATTCTCAACTTTTCCGTACTAAGTTACTGAGCTATAATTAAGTAAATGTAATTAACAGGAATCAGTGTTCGCCATTCAAAATCAATTTCATCCAACGTTATCAGTTCATTTCAATTAAACAGTGACTAATTAACTTTCCCGCAAATTTTAAATCATATCAGCTAAGTAGATATAACAATAAATGGGATAACGAAATATACATTTCTGTCATGGTTTTTAAAGAGTAGAATAAAGGTTCAGTATCAATCGTCTTTGCTGATAACCAAGATATCATTGGCTATGCGAAAATCCCAAATACTCAGGCCATTCTTTTTCAGAAACGGTGAAATTTCTAAGTAGTTTGATTAAACAGAAAGACATATCAAAAAAAGTGTAATTTATTTGTTATGCTATGAATGACGAATGAGAATAAAGCTTGGCTACAAAATTTTCACTCAAAAATATTTCTATTTAAATCTCGATAATGTGGTGCAATTTATGTGAATTAACTGTAGTTACACAATTAGTCAGTCTTTAATTTTATATAAATTCTTCAGTATGAAGACAGATTGTCTACTAGTTTGAAAAATAAAGTATGTTTCATAAGTATTACTTTGTATGGTCTTTTACGTGTACAAATATAGTGCAATTTTCATAAACACAAAGTAATACTTCCAGTGAAAAACCATAGTGTTATAGTGTCAGTTGCTTTTACAAATCCATATAAGCACTCCTGTGCTCATTACCAGCTACCAACATAATTACTGTCGATATATGGGTAGATAGATTTAAACATACTTAGCTGGAATGCATAGAATTTTCTACTGGTATAAATGTGAGCGCCACCTCTTTTATAACCATGTTAAACGTGATGAAGTTGGGTATTGATAAAAAAATTACGTGACGTTCACTTCAATTTATCATCAGGAAAGATATACTGAAGAAAGGGAAAATTATGTTTTAGAAAAAAGTTGTGTAAAGATAACTCTTGTAAATCAACTTCACAACAAAGTCATAACAACATCTTTCACAGTACAACACTCAATATACACATATATTCCTCACTATAACTGGTTGTTCAGTAATTACTTCAGAACGCACTGTTTTATTTATCCAACTTATGTTGTTTAATATCCACTTATCTGAAGATTTATACTCCATTTCCGATTCTGATGGACAAACAGGTTGACAACATTTTGTGATAAAATTTGTACGGTTCATTTCTTCCGTCTTAGATAAATCCAATGATTGTTGTGTAATATTTTTCATAGGTTTAATTGCTATTTCAGCTGATCCTTTGGCTTGTGGTCCAAGTACCCTCATAAATTGAGTTGATGTATAATCAATATTTGGAGGAGGCGAAGATGAATAATAACTGTTTGACATTCGATTATTTCGATAACCAGAACGATGATTAACAAGATTACCAATTGAACAAGCTTGCTAACAGTTCAAAATAACATTAACAGAGAACGTAATACGTGAGAGATTTGTTGACAGAATTTGATGAATGGTAAACTATATCAGCAACAGCTGTGTACAAGTGGAGAGTTCAATTCTTTATTGAACGTAAGGACTTTTTATCAACTAGTAAGCTGAATTTCAAGTAAAATCAGTATTCTATTATGTACTCGATTTTTCATCCCAATGGATGATGAAGAAAGATGTAACTTATTTATCAAGTATGAGTTAACTGCGAAGGGAATACGGTCAGGCCTGGGATTTACAGATTGAAAGTCGGAATACTTTAATCGTCTCTCCATTCGAACGCTGATACCTGATCTGTCAAGCTGTTGTTAACCAATTCGGAAATTCTAACCACTCTCTTCTAGACATCCAAGCAATTATTTATTAATTAAAGTTAACCTTGCATTCGTCTACTTAAACAATTAGTGTTTGCACTAACGGGATTGAACACAATTGTTTTAATTAATTGATCTCTATTTTAGTTGGTTATCAGCCAATATATGATTACTTAATTTTTTTATTTGGCAAAGATTCATTTACTGCACTATTATGTCGTAAAATGTTGTTCAAAGTATATTAAAGTTATAACCAGTCGATTTCTCCAGGTTTCCATGATAATATTCGGTAAAACAGTCATGATACGATAGTTTAGTATCTCTCAATATACGGATAACCAGCCAGTATCTATTAGTAGAAAAAGTGGATTTACAACAATATAAATAATATAAGAGATATTTGTCCTCATATACCATGCAATTAGGCTGAAAACGATTATCAGCATCTTACTGATTTTTTTGCCATAAATAAACTCGCATACACAACTACACTCACCACATGTCGTGAGGCCAACTCGAGGCAAAAGCATTTATCCTACACTTCAAAGGATATTTAACCAGTAAAAAGTGTAAAGGATCAAATTTTTGTTTACTAATGTAAAACATTATACAAATGACTACGTTAAATAGTTTTGCCTATTTTTAAAAAAAGAAGCCCTGATACATTCATTGTCATCAATTATTTACAATCTTAATACACTGTGATAATCTAATAATGTCTTTCTAGCTAGAAATTGTCATCTTTCCATTTTTCTGTGTTAAGAATTGATTTGTTTTAATAAAAACATTTATGAGTTCCGTCAGAAGTGGGAAGGAAATAATATGAACTGAATAAAAGTTTATATACATATTTTAAATATTACCTCTAACGTATGCGATATTACAAAAGGTGTTGTTAGTGATCGGTTCACAATATGAATTAAAACAATTTTATGAATCCTAACTCATGGTGATAAGAATTGGATGGGATTAGAAAAGAAGGCCCAGGACAGAGTGGGTTGGAGAATGCTGGTCGGCGGCCTATGCTCCGTTAGGAGTAACAGGCGTAAGTAACTCATGGTGACAAAAAATAAGGCAATGGATTTTCAGAGCTCCATGTTTGCTTTTAAGATAATTTGTAAATGGATTACTTTAGTTTAACTTAATTTATAAAGTAATTAAATATGTGTATGTGAAATCCACTAAGCACATCCATATAAATCATGTTAAGAAAAAAAGAATTCTCTAGTCAACATCATCAACTAATCTTAATTAAACAACCACTGAAAACCAGGAAATACTAGACAACTGTCTAATTCTAGTTTGGAACTTCTCAACAGTATGTATTCACAAACCCAGTGCATTTAGGCCTCGTCAACAGCCCTAAACCTTTAGGTTACTGAGCTGCCATCAAGTGGTCAACAACTTAGAGTATTTAGCGAAATAGTACAACGATCTAATTTCGTTCATTGGTGAGTGACTTGACTCATACGAATTCGAAAAACAAAAACCTTTTTCTATTAATATGTACAGATGCAATGAAAGTCTGTTTGACTTACGGATGAACGGTCATAAAATTGTTTAATGGTATCATAGGAAACAGTGCCAAGAAAGCAGACACCATGTATACGTCCATAACGATCATAAGCGGTCAATTCAACATTAATGCATTCGCTATCTCGCAGAACACATTCGCCAAATGCCTAAATATTTTGAGTTGAAGTTTTATTAAAATATCACTATTAGTGTTTTATTTACTAATTTGAAAGATGAATAAATGAAAGGATGGTATCGATGAGAAATATGTCGTTCAATGTAAGCCATATAAAAAATATAAGAGAAACGAGTGAAGGCTCTGAGAGAAGTATAATGCTATAGATTGAAATATTGATATCATACTACATATTTCTAAGAATTATTATGCGCTAAGGACAGCTTGGGTCATCTAGTTCCAGAGTTGCTCCATTTCACTTTTTCACTTCTGTTCAGAATATACAGCTATCCTGAAATTCCCGTCTTCGTTATTTTATATTGACGTTGAAGTGTTGTTGTGTGAGAGTCGCCGTTCTATCAGATCCGTTATACAACCCGTTTGTATTAGGACAAGTTCAATGGTTCCGCAATTAGCAGTTACCGTACCGAACTTCAAACATTACATATGTTAATTTCTGCGATTTTCACACTCTACACGAGTAATTTTTGAAATCATCGAATAAGAAGACTTGGAATATTGATTTCATTGCTTGAAATATTCTTTATACTCCTCTTTACTATTCACTAGCCTACTCATAATTTCGATATACACTCCTATGAGTTATTTTTTATTTAAGCCATCAACAATTAGGAAAATGAACAAACACTGTTGAGTCTAATTCATGTTAATACTGATGGTTTAATAGAAAATTCATGGTTACTTGCAGAATGTTTTACGGCCAGAGTTAAGTTTCAGAAAGGGAATTTTTTAAAACCTATTTCAAGTGATTCTGATTGAAATTTTTGTAAAAACCAAAATTGAAATTTTTACTTTCCCAAGGTCTCAAGTGCCATCATTTCAGTTTGTTTTCAGATTGTAAAGCGATATTCACTTGCATAAACCAATAATCCTACACAATACAAAGTTGTTTGCCTAGTTTAACCGTCCGTTTGTTACTATTCAAACTTTACGAATGAATGAATGTGGCGCATATATATCTGGTGCCCCCTTATACCCATATTTATGTGTTAAAATAAATAAATTACGAATGAACACTAACATAACTTAATAGTCCTACTTTTCCGGAAATTAGAACCTCATATATTAGTCACACACATGTATAACTTTATTTAGAAGGAGATCGTATAGTTGTTACAGGATTGGAAATTTTTCTATCCACTGAATGGAAAAATAGCTAATAAAGCAAATGAAAACGATATTGTATGATTATTAGTTGACTGCTTTAATATTTAGGATTCTGGAAGACAAATAAATAACTTAACTATTGTCAATCAGGTCTCCAAAGCACAATATGTAACTTAATACAGGCGCTATTATTTCTACAAGTCAATTTTTCGCCTCTTTTCTTTTTGGCACCATGGTATGCTGCTCACTAATCATAAGTAGATTGAAATTTATCCAACCATTCCTATGATTTATATATATCGTACTTACTCTTACTTACGCCTGATACCCTCGTGGAGTAGCATAGGCCAACCACCAGCATTCTCCATCCAATTCTGTCCTGGGTAAAACTTTCCAGTTGCTATTCATCCTTGTGATGTCTGTCTCTAATTCCCCGCACTATCTATTATTTGGCCTTCCTCTTTTCCGTTTCCCTCCAAGATTCCAAGTTAGTGTTTACCTTGTGATATAGTTTGATGATTTCCGTAATTTATGTCCCATCCGCTTCCAACGAATTTTCGTAATTTCCTCTTCAGCTAGAAGCTCGTTTGTTCTTCCACATAGTAGGCTGTTGCTGATGGTATCCAGCCAACGGACAATCAATATCTTACGTAGACAATTGTTTATAAATACCTGTACCTTTTTGATGATGGTTGTGGTAATTCTCCAAGTTTTAGCTCCGTACAGTAGAACTGCCTTGACGTTCGTATTGAAGATTCTGAATTTGATGTTGGTTGATAGACAGCTGTTTTGAATTCAATATGTTCTTTGATTGTAGGAATGCGGCCCTTGCTTTGCCAATCCTCGCCTTTACGTCTGCATCGGATCCTCCCTATTCATCGATGATGCTTCCCGGGTACGTGAAAGGTTCCACATCTTCCAGAGCTTCTCCATCAAGAGTGATTGGGTTGATGCTCTCCGTGTTTTATTTGAGAACCTTGCTATTTCCCTTATGTATGTTGAGGCCTACTGATGCAGAGACTTCTTCTACACTGTTTGTCTTGACTCACATTTGTTGGTGTGTATGGGATAGAAGGGCCAGGTAATCTGCGAAGTTCAAATCGTCTAGTTGCATCCAACCTGTCCATTTTATTCTGTGATTCCCTTCAGATATCGAGGTCTTCATAATCCAGTCAACCACTAGAAGAAAGAGCAAAGGAGAGAGTAAGCAACCTTGTCTAACTCCGGTCCTCTCTCAGAATGCGTCTGTCAGCTGTCCTCCATGCATGACTGGAGTTTAGTCCGTCGTATGAATTCAGGATGGTGCTGACGACTTCCTCAGGTACTCCATAATGTCCAACAAGGTTCAATAAAGTACTCCTATCCACACTGTCAAATGCTTCCTCAAGGTCGAGAAAGTTGATGCATAGTGATGAGTTCCATTCAACTGATTGTTCAGCAATAATCCACAGTGTCACGATTTAGTCTGTGCACGACCGATCACTAAGGAATCCGTCCTGTTGATCTCGAAGTTGGGCGTCTACTGAGTCTTCCATCTGCTTCAGCAACACTCTGTTGGAAACATTTCCTGGTACTGACAGTAGTGTGATGCCTCTGTAGTTCTCACATTTGCTCAGGTCTACTTTCTTTGGTATCTTGATGAGGTATCCTTCCTTCCAGCCTATCGGCACTTGTTCTTCCTCCCAAGTATTCCTGTATAAAGTGTGAAGCATGCTTGTAGTTACTTTCATGTCTGACTTCAGAGCTGCAGCTGGTATATTGTCAGGTCCTGCTGCTTTCCCGCTCTTGATTTATCTGATGTCCATCCTCACTTCTTCGATCGTTGGTAAGTGATAGCTATAGGGAGGCCCGTGTGGACTCAATGGAACTGGCCTATTCAAGAGTTCCTCAAAGTATTCTACTTATCTGTTCCACTGTTGTTGAATCTTATTGATTTGCTTGCCTGCTTTCTTGTCCTTGACTGATCTGTCTGGTTTACTATATTTCTCTGCCAGTTTCTTCACTGTATTATATAGTGTTTGCATTTCCTTCTCTTGCAGCCTAATCCGTTGTCGTTGCTACGTCTTCCACGTATTTCTGCATGTCAGCTCTAATGTCCTTCACTTGCTTGTTCGCTTCAGTGTATTCAGCTCGTTCCCGGACTTTCTCTGTTCTTGTTCAGCTGTTGTTAATTGCTGTCTTCTTGCTCTTCCTTTCTTGAATCTGGCCCAGAGTTTTGAATCTATATATCACAACAAGTGTTATGTCTGTATCAGCAAATCGATCACTTTATGCTATCCGTTTACACTCAAGTCTCTATGTTTCATTGAAGTCTGTTATTTTTGACAGTATTTTTCGCCTCGGTTAGTTTAAGTTTTTCATTTCTGTTTTATTCTTATTGTAAATTTGCTGTGTTTATTTTGTTTTCTTTAATAGACGGTATCGTTTAGACAATCCTGCACTTTATGTTTCAGGATTCTCATATTGGAATAAAATACTCAAATTATTTCTGAGTCAATTATAAAAAGTAGTATAGCTACTTTCTGTAATTTTGACACCAAACATAAACTATGCACTGTAAATTTTTTATGAAAAACTGATCAAAAATATGTTGAGTTTCGATTAAAAATTATCTAGTACACTGGGATTTTAGTTCGTTGGCGATTGGTTTCGCACCAGAACAGAATATTCCAAGATTCAGTACAGTATTTTTTTCGGACAAGAAGCAATGGAATATAGTGTTAGTGTATCTAAACTATTAGGGCGAAAGTTAGTTGTTCGGAAACAAACTACCAGTCAATACAAGTCTACTCATGATTGGTGAAACAGTCGAAGGTTGTTTTTATTTCATTCTTGGAAATTTGTTATAATTTTTGTTCCTAGTTCAATCGATCAAAGATATAACTATTATTATGAAACATAAGCCAGTATTATGATCAGTACAGCGACGACAAAAGGTGAATCCGGAGTTTTCCTTTTAATTAGAGTTGTTTTTCTAAAGCCAGATTACTCCAATGAAATATGCAACAATCAGTTCGTTTTTGTAAGTTCAAATAGTGTGATATGAAAACAATGATATTTAAGAAAGTGATAAACACTAAACCAGACAAAGTCGACGCCCTCTTCACTTACGCACACACGAACATGAATTATCAGTGGGAAAATATGGTATGTTATCACCGATATGAATGCATGTATAAAACTATAGTTATAAATTCGACTGAGGAAATGTCAAAATTCTGGAACAGGGGAAATTTCAAGAATGCAACGGAATTTCTGGAGGCATGACATTCCAACGAATCAAGAATTAATAAACACATCAAAATAGACCTAATCCTTAGAAATACTCGAAAAAAGCCAACTAGCGACACTATCAAAGGTCAGTGATTTGAATATAAGTACAAGCACAAACAGCAAAACCTACAACGACAACCAATCGCAAACCAGGTTACCAGAATAAATTGACTCAAGCCCTGTGGAATAACCAACGAGCTCACTTCTATATGGGATAAACCCTGATTATTTTGTTCGAAACGACAATGACAACTCTATAATTACACCACTCAGCTCTGAGAACTGAACAACAATAAAAAGGTAGTGTTTTTGCAGAACATATATTTACTTGTCAAATGAATTTGAAACGAAAACTAAGAAAAGTCATGTTGGAGATCCTAGATCACCAGAAATCGTTTGGTAAATGTCTTAATATCGTAATTTTGTTTTGGAAATTCGAATTTCTCGTCTTCGCGCTAAAAGTGCCCATTTTTACCTTTAGATTGCATTTCCCACTTGGAAAGACCCTAAATGTCTTTGGTTCGCTGCCTCTTTTAATGAGCCATTTTGTGACGCTTCCCAAGGACCTTTTTATACTGTATATATACTCTTGAGTTCGTGCTTCTGGCTGCTTGTGAGATATACTTCTCCGTCGACTAAATCTGGTCTTTTCCCTCTAGTTAGCAGGACCGGGTCGCATTGGAATAGTTTAGCTTGTCCTATTGTTGTGTTGCAGACCGTCGTTCCGTTCGCCGGTTTAAGTGAACCACAATCTCCGCAAACATAACAGATCAACTGAATAAAAAGTGATAATTGAAAAAATAACAGACAGAAAGAATAACTGTTTATATCACCCCTGACACTAAGAGGACTAAAGATTATGAAGGCAGGTTGGACAGTAAAGTTTGATGATGATGTACCAATTTACAAGCCATGATAAAAATAAAAAAGTTCAAATTCAAAACTTAGTGAAATGACAATAGAGAGCTTGCATTGTACCATAATAATGCTTCAGATCAAACTATTAACAAATATCTTACTGTGATAGGCTTGTAGTGTTTATCTGAATTATAAAGTTTTCAGTCTACCTTGAATACAATAAAACTGCATAAAAAACGTTCTAAACTAATTAAATCAGATGATAATAGTTTCCCTTAAATTGATGATATTGAGTAAATAAAGTAGGAAAAAGACTAAGCACTGACAAACCAAATTGAACTATCTTACCTCTTCATAATTATCAATCGTAAAATAAAGATCTGGGTAAACTATTTCTTCATAACTTCCTTTCATATTCATTTGTCTATGGCTGGGAGATGCATAAACAGTCTACAACAATTAAGAAAACATGAAATTATTTATCTCCAAACATTCACTTGAGATATTTTCTGGGTTTTTTTTCAAATAAATAAATGAAGTATAGCAACAATTTAAATATTTTTTGTTATGAAACTGTCAAGTTCTAATGATTTATTAGTGTCATGAGTGAAATCTATATAGACATTTAGTGTAACCATTGGAAAATGAATAATAATTCTTCAAAGACCATTTGAATTCATAAGCAAAAAAGAGTACAGAACTTGTAATTGTCTAAAAATAAAGCAAACATTGTTAAGGAAACTATTATATAAATAATTAACGAGTGATTCTATCAAACAACAAAATTATATAGCATATTCAAAGTATAAACTGATCAGATTAAGTTTCAAAGAAAAATATCACATTTATGAGTTATTAGTATGATCATTAAAAGTGAGACATTTCCAAGTAAATAACATAAACTAATAAGTGATTTGTCGATGAAATCAAAGGTCGATGACTATTGTTGATAACTTGAAAGTTTAAATAATAAATTAACACAATAGAAGTTTTAAACTACGCATACTATTGAATAATACTAAAATCTAAGTAGAGACAATAAAGTTTTAACTCATAATTCAAAAGTTATATAATTAGTTAACAAAGTCCAATTATCCATTGGTTTCCGTTAAACATACATTGATCTTTTAATATCATGTTCATCTACCATCTATTAAGAAATAAAACGTATGGAATCAGAGCTCTTAGATCAGTAAAATGTCTAATCAATAGTTTAATGAAATTAAAATCTAAAACAAATTAGACAATAAATTTTTACTCAATCAAGATATTCGCATTTATTATTGATGCCTGTATACAAAACTAATCGACTACAAAGAGTGAAAAAAAAGTTTATTTCAGGAGAAAGAAAGAAATGCCAATTCAACACAAGTCAAATATAATTTACAGAAAAGTTATAAAAACTATGAAAATATTTCCTATGTGACTCAGTAAATCAAGTACTAATCTGTAAATACGGCTTTAACACACCATTTTTAGTATGAGATTTATGAATACTGGTCAGTTACGCCCAAATGCCCCGCTACGGACGAGGGTGGGGAAAGTTGGCTCTCCCTCTCAAAATACTCTCACATGGCCACGCGTAAACAGCCACTTCAAGGGAAGTCCTACTCACTACCCTCTCGCACCATGGGTGTTATTTACGAAATTGAAAGGAAGAAAAGTGAATGTTTGACGCTTTAATTGGGTTTTTGGATATGGAGGATCCACCTATGGGAGTTGAAAAACCCTGATTCCAAACCAATGGTGCACATGGGCTCCAGGATCCTGAAGGAACAAATGACGTATGAACCAATTGTTAGTCACCGGATACCATGGAACTGCATCTCTTGGCATTGCTCCACTACCTTGTGGATCAGACCTGTAGGTCGAAGGCTCCGGGTGTGGCTCCCTAAGAAAAGCACCTGCTTCGGTCTGGGCACCCGGGCAGTATCATAGCACATACACAAATCAAGTGACTTGTGTGGCACATATGTATTCGGTACCCTTCGTACCAATACTTATGTATTCAAATAAATAAACATTCTTTTTACATTTTTATACAATTTAACGTTACAATAGGCTAATAATTGAATGATTTATGCTGATTCGTCCAACAACTGAATAAACTGTTCATACCATAAAGAAGAATAGGACAGGATTGAGAAAGTAGAGGAATCTTTATTTCACTGATCAACATAAGCTTTAAAAAATGTTGATACTTACTTGCAAGAATCCGTTTTTATTAATACTAACAAATCCTAATTGACTAACCTTTTTTCTATTTATGAATGAATTGAATTTGCTATTTTTTCCGATATTCAGAACTAGTATTTTTATTCAGTCTCATAATTTTCTTATAATCCACTTAATGATAAGAGGACGGAAATTATCAGAACTATACTATATATTAGCGCAATACATTCCGAACAATTTGATCACACATATGCTTGTTGAGAGAATTTAAACCTCCTTTATTTGTTTAAAAACGTATTCTCACCCTAAACCTATCCTGGTAATTTTCCTTTATTATCCAGCGTGGTGAGTTTTACATTGTTTTTAACATTTTTTTCCTTATCATCTTCGTTTCTTCTTACCTATCATTAGTCTAGTTGACCTTTAATTTTCATATACTTAGTGTTCATAACAAGCATATGTGTGATCAGATTGCTTGAAATGTATTGCGCTAATATGTCGTATAGTTCAGACAATCTTCGTTTTCTTATTACACTACCCAAATCTGTCAAAGGAGTGGATTTTTCCAAACACCTAATGATCAGTGTCTGGTGTGATGGCTTGCTGGTTAAAAGATTTAAGCGTCGGATTCCAGGTTCGAATCCCAGTTTCTATAATATTTTCACAATGCTGTGTATTTCTGTGTTTTTTAATGAGAAACAAAGAAATTTGATTTACAAATTCCATTATTATCCATTAAACCCATGAACTGACAACAAGAACCCATGTCAGGTCAGTACTGACGATAACGGTAAGAAGAATGAAAACTAAGAACTTACTTGAGAAAATTTCTTTAAAATTTGCCACTCTTGAGGTCCAGTACGAGTGCATACAGCAACTGTCACAACATAAACAAACTAAATTGTAGAGAAAAATCACATGAAAAAGTAATCCAAGAAAAAACATTATAAGTATTACATTGAACTAATAAAGAGTAATGAAACAAATAAATTGATTTCATTAACCGACTATTATTAATTTCTTGAATGAGTTACCTTAAATTGAAAACCCTTCAGCATGAAACTGTTATGATACCGAAATACCTTTTTCTATATGTTATTCTTGAAAGTATGTCAACATTATTATATCACTTCACAAGTTAACAACAATGATCTCGAAAGAAAACCTATAATGATTTTAGTCATTCACTTGATAATGTTGTAATGAATAGTCAGGAACATTCGATTTATGATCCTGTCATTTCTTCTTAACTAACATATAATCAGTGACGTTATATGATAAACAAATTTCGATAAGTACTAACAGATTGTAAATTTGTCATTTCTTGTTTCATTTTGATGATTTAACGAGTTCGTTGATCAAAAAAACGGTCGAAAAGGAATAATAAACTTTACAGTTAGTCAAAACTAGCTATACATCAAAGAAAAATTTATAGGTAACAAATAGTAAGGCAGTCGTACAGAGTTAAATAAGCCAATATAAATTGATCATTCCATTTCTGGAAGCAAGAATGAATAACAGGAAAATGACACATAAATGATTTATAAAAGTATTCTTCAGATTCAAATTTCAAAATAATAATAATCATGACTACTAATTCTTAGGTCAAATTTAGTTACAGTGCTTACACAGAAAACTATGGGAGCATAAGAAACTGGATTATTAAAGGTTGAATAGCAATGTACATAATTCATGAGTACACATAAATTTCAGGCTGATACAGATAGTAAATAAATCTCCTCACAACAGTACTCCTACATTTGCATCTATCATTCACCGTGTGGCCCTGAGACAAAATGTGACCCGTCAAGACTCGTCTAGTCCATTTTATTAAAAATTTACTTACTTGCATTTATTTGCATCATTTGATGTTAGAGCATACCATGGGACTATAGTTATATAGTTCCAGACGTTGAATAATACGGTCTAAAATTGGTTGCAGTGGGATGAGTGTATTCATATTTTTCTTTTTATATCAACATCATGAACTTAGAGTAATCTCATGCTATTTGCTTAGTGAACTCATTCTTTATTTTTGAATCATAATTTCTATGTCGAGTCTTTTTACTATCATAGACACTAACATTACTTCAACTTTTTTGGTGAGTAACTTCTAACTTTCATCCCAGGTTAGGAAATGATGTATTCAGAAGTGGAACAAGACTTAAGACAAAAATTAGTAGATTTATCAACCAACCTGTGATATAATTCAGGAAGCACAAACGGCTCGAAGGCTTTATAGAGTATTCTCGTATCTAATTATAACCGCTCTGATGCCCCTTTTGCACTCACTCACTTTAGATAGTATAGGATAGTGAGGTAGATTATAGCTTATTGTTTTTAGTGCATCACTACATCAGTTACTGAGGATACTTTAAAGACTATGTACCAGGTTTGAATTATTATTTAGATTATCTAATCAGATCAGAATATTACCTGTGGGTAATCAGAAGAAGAAACTGTTACCCACGTATATGGTTAGATCATAGTTAACGTAGAACCTTGTACAAATATATACCCACCTTTAATAAGAAATTCGAATGAAAATGGTAGATATTACAAATTTATGGAAGATACCATAAAATCTCATACAATGTAATAGATAACTAGGAATTATTGTCCGTATTTGAAAATTCATTAAACACAGACTCAAATCGCGATCATGTCATTTAGGGTGAAGATGAGAGAAAAAATAGATCTTGTTGTCAAAGTAAGGATGAGCCGATTTTTCACTGGAAATGACTATAATTATCATTTTATTTAAAAAAAATTACACGTAACAGGAAATAAAATCGGCTTAACTAATTAATTAATAAGTGATCTTGTAGCAGACTATAATTAACGTCTACCTATACACGAGTGTTAGGTAAATCTTAATTCATGTCAAGGTCACTGAACCACTATTCTAAAAATAGATGTGCGTTTTTTCAACAACCCAATAAGTTCATGGGACAACAAGATCTACATGAAAATCCTAATTGAAATGCCATGTTTAAGATTTTTAAAAAATGATACTTACATATTGCATGAGTAAGTTGAGATACACTGTTTCCTCCCAATCGACATAATCATCTGTCAATTTTGGAAGATTTGAACTGTTTCTACGAAATACACTCAATTCTGGCTAGAAACAAAATTTACAATTATTCATTTGTTGTATAACTCTTCACAGAGTAAACTCAAACAATTTGAAGAAAAAGTAACAACAACAATAACCGTTCATGACAAAAAGAGGTTCGATAGCTTCTTACAATCAAAAAAGAAATTAAAGTTGCAACTTCTTCAGGATATTTACTGTTGAATACCAAGGAAAAAGCCACAGAGAAGTAATCATATCTTTCCAAAAAATAATTCAACAAGGTCTTTTCAATCTGATTGACTTTGACTACAACGATCCAGATATATTGGCATGATAATATAAATGGAATTCTAGTTCACTACATCACTTTGTTCCCCGAAAATTTTGAAATTCTCGATCTTCTTTGTTTTCCTACATAGCATCCCATGTCTTAATTGATTACCGAAAACATACAATCCTAGATTACTTCTTTGTCGAATTCTTCTTATTATTGAACTGCCCTGTAGTTAACTGAAATATTGGAGTCAGTTAGAGAGCAAGTACCACATTATTCTTTTCAGGATACACTTCAATCAGTCGGTAACACCAATAATTATATATATATATATATATATAGTATAGATTTAAACTGCTTTTTTTAAAGGCTGAATTTTATGCACAATGCTACGTTTCTCAGTCTTATCGCTGGTTAAAATTAATTGCGAATAGATATGCTTATGATTTGGATACATTTACGAGACATTAAAACAATTAGTTCGTGAAATACTTTCCTTAGATAACGAAACTCTATCACATTTACAATGTTGTTTGAGATTTATATTATTGTCTCCAAACAGCATGTGGTTATATCCGGTCAGTTCACAAATTTCACTGTTTTATTATTTATGTGATTGACGGGACAGTGAAGTGTACTACTTACTATTAAATATTTTTACTATTAAAGCTTAAGTTGAATGACAAAGATAATATCTCAATGTTGAATTTAACAAAATTAACCTCTACGTCATAACATTTTTATGTGTGTTTTACATTAAAGATTTCACAAATGCTGGTAAGTACCCGTTGATAATTAGTTAGAATAAACAGAAAGCCCAAACTGTGTTTCCACTGAATCGTGTACAAAATAACCTAAGCCTAAATAATGAATTGCATAGCTCAAAAGGTGTACAGTACAGCTTAATTGATACACTCTGAGCTGTACAAATTATAATTGAATAACTACTCAAAGACTTGTGTACTAACTCAAAACTTTGACATGTGGCGTAAACTTTTAACTAATGACTTAATTACTTAAGTTGAAAACAAAATTATAAAAAAATTTACTACCATGAAAAAACAATCTACTGGCAAAATTGGTTTTACATTAAATCTGTGCTATAGTATACAAAATACAAAATCCAAGTACATTGTTTGTCAAAAAATTTCATCTTATTTACAGAAAAAAAATTAAATATGTAAACGTAAAGACAGTTAATGATTAAGATATTTCGTCATTATTATTAGAATTGACAATAACTGACTATAGATTCACTAGTCAAATCATATTTATTTAAGCAGAGTATAACAATATAAAGGAGACTAATATTAATCCATTGAATGTATTGATCTATATTATGTAATACACAAGTCGGATATTAATATTATAGCATGAATAAGCAGTGCTCCCAAATGCCCTGGTATGGCCGAGAGTGGGGTGGGTCCGCCCTCCCTCTCGAAATACTCTCAAACGGCCACGCGTATACAGCCTCTGCCAGGGAAGTCCTACTCACTGCCTTCTCGTGGCGAGGGTGTTGTTTACGAAAATGAGAGGACAAAAAGCGAATGTCCGGCGCTTTAACCGGATCCCAAACCAATGGTGCACATGGGCTCCAGTATCCTGCGGGAACAGATGGTGTATGAACCAATCCTTGATAACCGACTACCATGGGACTGCATCTCCTCACGATGCTCCACTGCCTTGTGGGTTAGACCTTTATGTCAAAGGCTCGGGTTGTGGCCCCCCAAGATAACCACCTGCTTCGGTCTGGGCACCCGGGCAGTATCACAGCCCACACACAAATATGATGAATAGTCGATAATTATGGAAAATACTTTTCTTGCTTCAATTAACAGTCAAACGATTCACATTATTGTTATTATTATTATTATTTACTACTTCATTTATTCACTCTCTTTTATTCTCACTCTGTCTATCCTTATTTTTCAACTTATACAGCAGCTCGCCTATGGTGGAAATTCGGCTCTATCTAAACGTTCTCGAGTAGAGACGTTATCGGATATGGCTCAGAATAGGAGCCAGTGGAGATCCTGCTGTAACGTTATTTTACTTTCTTCATAAAAAGTGGTTGTATTTTCCTTAACTGAAAGATCTCTTCTGATTGTACGCTTCTGTTCCACCCATTATTATTATTATTACACTACCTTACACTAATCTGTTCGTTATCGTTCTTTTTTTTACGTACCTTACCTTTTTTTCCTTCTCTTCAAATTCTCATTATTTTGTGTTGCGCATATATATTTGGTGCCCTCTTGTACCAATATTTATGTGTTCAAATAAATAAATAATAAATAATAGTGCTTTTCTCGACTAATTTATAACTTAATCAGGGAAGTAAAATAAAGAGTAATAAGTGGATCAACACAACAATAAACCCCTGTTTGATAAAGAAAGAAAAATGATTTACTTTTGAAACTTCATTAAAAACCTAAGTAGACAACAAAAAAGTCAGGTTATTACTAAGTGGAGCGATGAACTATGAATTAAATCACTTGATTGTCAAAAAGTAGGTGGTAGGCTTAAACACTGGTATAATTATTTCGATTTAGACGATTTGATAGTACTGATAACTTTCACAAAAACAAATTGGCTTAAACTCCCGAGTACACAAACTTGTACTTTGTAAATGAGTGCCATAATTACTAAGTGTAATTTTCTTCAACAGTACTATTTAAGCATATCCGAACATATTTTTATATGACCAACAAAATCACATTGAATGGTAATAGTATAAAATGAAATCTGCTTTAATAATATGTATAAAACGTGGAGTAATTGAAAGAAGATTCGCTGGTATTTAATAGTTCCACAAAATGGGAATAATATTCAAATGGTTTAGGCACTCATCCCCCAACTAGGTGATCATAAGTTTGAAATGACGCTACAAATAATATAAAACTGTAAGATAATGTCATATCATGAGGAGTGAAAAAAATTTAGAACATAAACCTGAATGGTAAATAAGCGCCTAAAAAGACTAATTATTCAATTTGTGGAATGATCAAACGTGAATAAAAGTAAAGGTATCCTTATAAATATATTGCATTATGTTGATATGAAAGGCAGTCCATGAGTAAAAGGATAATGTTTAAATTACTTTTCTATCATTTTGTTTAAGATGGACAAAAAACAGAAGATCATCTCCTGGTCCGTCGACTGAATTCTCCAAAGCCGGTGAAAGAAATGCTTGAGTAAACAAATCGAACCAGAAATCATTATGGGAGTTAGTGAAAGCAACATCAAAACTCTTTTTTAGAATGTTTTCTGAAAACATAGAAAGTCGGTAAGTTAAAGAAATTAATGAAGTATACTACTGCAATAAATTATATCATGAAAATAGAATTGAAATAGAAAAAACTGATAATCTCCATAGATAGCGTAGAAACAGATTTCATGAATCTCATATATACAAACAATCGATAAAACGTGATTTAAGTTATCCTCTAATACAAATCATATTAAAATAAGTGATTTAGTGAACTGCTGTAGCCTAAAGGAACTATAGAAAATTGATATCGCTTCAAGAAACAATGGTAATTCAGGATGGTTAGGCGGTCATTTCATTTACACTTGTGATGTTTCAAAAGTGACCGTCTACTTAAGAAGTGAAATCAAGAACTCTAACCATTTCAACTGGAACACAGTTGTCTCAATAGACCAGAATCACCCAATGCTTATTAAAAGATTGCATCCTGAGTATAATCGGTTAAAACATGACAAAATTCTTTGCATAAATTTAGCGATTGCTTTAGGAAATTCCACTATTTCACATTCTTCATTTATTTACATCTATATATTTTAATATTAGGCTGCTGTTCTTCTCTTAGTACTTTAAAGGGGCAAAGTTTATTTTTAAAACAATATTAAATAAAACTTTGTCAGTAAAATGGAGAGTGATCAACTAACCAGCACAAAGCTGTCGTTGCCGAATGATCGACTCCATAATAGAATTCAGAGTAATATTACCAACCGGAGTGTTATTTAGACGTCCAGTATTTACAATGGAATTATCACTTGGATTTTCTGGATCACACATAACCAGAAGAAATCAGATGATCTACTCTAAAAAGTAAGAAGAATATGAATGAATATATATAAAAAATGAGGCTGTTAAAGAAGCAAAATGAAACCTTGACACGAACAAAAGTGTCTGAAACGTTTCCCAAAACCGAAAGTATTGTATAACATCTTTTGTGTTCAATCCTCAGTAAATAGGTTATGAGTTGATGTTTTGGACCGAAGGTGCTGAGCAATATGTAAAAGTATACATTTTTATGAACAATGTGATATCCGACCAATTTTTTCACAAATCTATCTATATTGTACAAATTGAAGCTGAGAGTTAGAGATGAGGAGACAAAGCATAGAACTGGTCCATGAAGTAAATAACGTTGATCGATAGCCATGTAAGAAGAAGCAGACTTCTAGCGTATGAATGTAAAACCCAGATGATATTTCTATGAAATGACCACGATGGTATCCAACAACTTCTTACGGTACTAGAGACTGAAAGCTAGACGTAATGCCATCTAACTAACCACAATTGATTATCACATTTTACAAAAGGGGTTATAAGTTTTATTGTAATAACCACAGGGGAATCGGTTTGCCTGGCATAGTCTCAAGTATTGTGAGCAATCATCATTTTACACCAAACTAAGGTTCATGAAAACAGAACGAGAAAAAATCATGCTGGTTCGAGACCTAGACATGAATTTATTGGTCAAATATTATTCACCCTTCGTCAGGTTTTGGAACACAAGGATAACTACCAACGGTCGACAACAGATGTGTTTCGTGACTTAATGGCTCCACTTGACTGACTTGACCGAGAAATACAGTAGGAATGTTACTAAAAAGCGAATCAATGAAGTTTCTATAGATATAGAGAGTTCATCATTTGTGTGTGGGCTGTGATACTGCCCGGGTGCCCAGACCGAAGCAGGTGGTTATCTTGGGGGGCCACAACCCGAGCCTTTGACATAAAGGTCTAACCCACAAGGCAGTGGAGCATCGTGAGGAGATGCAGTCCCATGGTAGTCGGTTATCAAGGATTGGTTCATACACCATCTGTTCCCGCAGGATACTGGAGCCCATGTGCACCATTGGTTTGGGATCCGGTTAAAGCGCCGGACATTCGCTTTTTGTCCTCTCATTTTCGTAAACAACACCCTCGCCACGAGAAGGCAGTGAGTAGGACTTCCCTGGCAGAGGCTGTATACGCGTGGCCGTTTGAGAGTATTTCGAGAGGGAGGGCGGACCCACCCCACTCTCGGCCATACCAGGGCATTTGGGGGCATATATATTTGGCGCATTCTTGTACCAATATTCATGTGTTCAAATAAATAGATAAATAAAGAAAGAACTAACGAAGTACATAAACTTCGTGAAGGCTCTTTGCTTGAAGACTTTAGGTGGAGTTAGAATTTATGGCGAACTGTTATTAGAGTTGGCAGCCTCAACTGATGTGCCTCAGGGTTCTTCAATATCCCAACTTTTATATAACGTCATCATAGAAATTTTTTAGAAAAAAATGCTTTATCTGATTTTTAAAGGAATGAATTCCTACCAGAAGAATCGGCTAAAATGGTGCGGATGTAAACAATTTATGTTTTTCCCTAAACTCCTAGCTTTAGAATTATTCTACACATTTTACTTCATAAATTCATCCTTCCCCAAATCATATTTTCTATGTTTAGTGATTTTTAACTGCACCTGTACTACTACTACTTTTAACACTTGGGACTCATCTTGACAATTGAATCCCTTTGTGCTGCGTCAACCAGGAGCGATGTGTGTCCAACTCTGCGTTGATTATAACGGACTGAATTCTGTGTACACCTGAACCTAGAAATGTGCGTCATTCCCCTAACCGACATTTGAGTATCCAATTTTTGAAGCTAAGTTAGAACTACCATGTTTAATTGTTAGACGTGATTACTGAAATAACGTCTAGTGGGCATGACTACATTTTATTTAGTGAACGATTGAAGTATGTGGAATCCTGTGTAGTGGTTCTTATTTTCCTGGTCAGACAATGTAATACCTAAGAGATACTTTTGTGGTAAACTCATAGTTAACGCATAAGTTTAGCATGCATTTAATTATAAAAATCACTTCCCCTTATCGAAATACATTTCCATTAGATAACGAACGATGAAAACACCTAGACATGTAATGAGTGTTCAAAACGTTGTGTGGGCAAGTTTTAAAAAATATGGTGCTTCAGCTTTAGCTGTTCAAAAAACTTAGCTGGGAAAAAACACTGGTTAGCATTGTCCTTAAAACCAGTTGGTGTGATCAACCACAAGATCAAAGATATCAAAGACAGAGACAAGGTTGCGAAGAACGGCCTGCCAAGTGAGTGTGAAGACGACTATTGACCAGTACTGTTGAAATCAAGATATGAAACCTACACCAATTTATTAAGATACAAACACTCCAAACATAGTCAGTCAGCAACAACGTAGAACTTCGTACGTACGCACATCAGTTCAAGTTGCCACACCACATTAACACAGAGACACAAGTGTCGCTTCAAACCCCACAGTGGTAGAGGTAGTAAGAGTATAAGCAATAATCGGAAAGATTAGGGTTCGAAGATGTTATTTAAGGAGTGTAATCCAGTGAAATAAATTTGGGAAAAGAAAAAAAGGATATAAAAAATTCACATTTGGATTTGGGAGAACACAAAGAATGAATGCACCTGCACCGTTGCAAACGACTTTGAGCCATGTCATTCAAGGTCTCTAAACATCGGTTGCTATCGTCTCGCGGATGACAAACATAGTAAAAAACTCTGGGAGCATGAAAACGAAGCGAAACAAACTGAAATCGTGAACCTGTTATACTTCCCTCTAAATGTTGATTTTAATATTTTGAAAAGCTGACATATTATTAACCGTACGACAATATTATTGTAAATAATATTTGTTGGTAACTTCAGAGTTTGAAAAACTATGCCAAGTGTCTGTACCAAGAACGAACAAAAAATATAAATAACTAAGTCGTACCTTTAAACTATTATGACAGATGTGCTTATGAGGAAATAGGGATTTAACGAAGACTCTACATGTTTAAGAACGTAACGCAGTACTGGAACTAGCCGCACGAAAATGCATCCGTCTTCATTATCCAACTACCTTGAAACAAGATGAGGAAAACCATGCTATTGCTGTTATTTCTGCTCCATAAGCAACTATGTACTATACTATACACTATACTGCCAGAAGGAAAATTAATGGTTGCGACATTTTAAAGTCTTGTAGACTATCTTCGGAAATTACGATGTTGATTTATATTTGCTGTGACATATCCATTTGTCTCAGTTGATGTTACATTGATAAACAAGGCATCATCACCTGATGATACCATATGTTTCCCGTCTGAATTCACATATCCTACCTTGAAATTGGAGTTAAAAATGTCTCTACCATTCCCGTTAGAAAATAATTTGTGTAGGGGCTCCATGACCTAAACTAGCTTCTAGCAATTTCACTGTGTGGAACATTATCCATATCTAAGACTGAATGGAGGGGCATTCGTAACTCTTCAACTCCGGGTTGGACATGCTAATGCAGTATATTCCGATTATCAAGCACTACATTACATCATATATCAAGTGGTTTCCATTCACTATCTACTTTGAACTTTGCTTGACAAGATAAAAGAACCATTTTGCCTTTGAAATTTGTGTCTGAATGGTCAAAAAAATTTCCAAGTGATGAAAAGGTATGTTTCTTGTTGTTTTGAACATAAAACGTGCAGTTTCTACGCGATATTTAATGCATACAGTAAGATGTTTCATTGTTTTTTAAACCTCTAAGACTTTTTATTTATCATATTTACGCCGTTTTCAGGTGACTCAACAACTAGTGGCAATGGCGAAATGCCACTGATCTCTGGCCAAACCATCCATCGGACAGATCGCTGATTGTCGAACAGTTTAACGGGCCCCATTAGAGTCAAGGACAGCGAATACAGACCAACTGGTTAAAGATCACAGACTAGCACACGCAGCAATGGCTCTGCTACATAATTATTTAGTCTTTCACAGTAATACATTTCTATAATAAGGCCATGATTGTTTTATACAATCAGTAAAATTGCTGCATTGTGTGAATATCACAAAATTTGAGATCCACTTTGTGGAGTAACTGTGTTGTGTTACTTCAGCGTAAGCCAGCTGGTCTCGTCTTTACGTCGAAATCGAATAGACCCCGACCAACCAACTGTGGAAAAACGCATTGCATGTACATGAACAATCTTAGTCTACATCCTAACTAGACACTTTTTCATACGTAATATATCACTCAACGCTAGATGATAAGCTCTTTGCATCAGCCTTTTGAGAAATGGTCACGTTATTTGAACCCTCTAAACTTTAGTTACATTGTTTGTCACCATTTTTACTGTTTGCTATACGCTTTGTAATTTCTGTTATCTTACAGGGTAAATAATGGTTGAACTTTCTTATTACACTACGGTCATTTTAATTCCTTTTCCGATTTATTTGCATGAGCTATGGGTATGAAACATATCTAAACGACCTCTAAAGTCTCTACGAACCCCGCCATAGTATTCGCACATGCTTTTATTCACACAATCAACTGTCATACTAATAATACCACAACGAACGTTCAGTGCAACTGCCAGTATGCGTAGGAACGATGTTGTTGCAATATGACATTCTAACACATCAGAACTATTGTAGCCTTTCAACTTCGACGTCGTGCTTTATTTTATAAAGTATTGTTTCTTCGTTGCTATTATCTAACAGATGATTTTGGTACATCAATTAGCTGTTTGACTGCTCGACGTTGTAAAACATATCCAGTTCGATTGGTGGTATGACGATACTATTATTCACACTAATCATCAGTTTACGCAGTCGAAAGAATCTTCTGCAAACTGAAAACGATGGTGTCGCCTCTATCGCAACACTGACAGCGTTTTTCATTGGTATAATTGGCATGAGTTCATAGTGACACTCTTGAATTCTTATGTCCTTTTAGATTTTTTACGTTTCACTTATCGAACAAACATACAGTACTCACTGCTTATCATTTCATAGAGACTTCATTGTGTCACCTTCGCTCTCGATTTGTAGTCTTCGATCCTTACTGATCATGACAACAATCATCGGCCTTTCAAACTCTGGATACAACTTGATCAGTAGCTTCGCATAATTAAGTCTCGACCTCTCCTCACAGCTATACTTTCGTACTTACTGTTAGTCTGTTATAAATAGATATAACTAGAATTCAACACTTACGAACAGAAGCTGTAAACCACACTGTCTGACCTTGCACTTTAAACCAATGACTGTACAAACATTGACATCAACTGATAATACACTTATTGTGCTATCACTGTAGAAGCATTACTCTTTCGGTAAACTTGTAACAGCTTAGGTTGGTTGGTTAAGAGTTGACCCCAAACAACCAAGCATATGCCAAAACAGTATTGTTCAAGTATTCATCCACTTCCTTGTTTTGTATAAGCGTTATATTCCCTATTATCTTATATTGAATGTTGAGAGCCTTTGTTTGTCTGAACAGATAATCCCACGCTCCACTGTCACCGCGCTAAGATCGAAATAAAGACCTATTCACTACTTGTCTGGTTTCTTCTATCAATAGCACGAGGGTTACTTTAAGGCACGAAAAACTTACTGTTTCTCGTCTGAGGAACTCAGTCACATTTCAAAGCTATCTATTTCAGCTCGACTTGATAGAACTCTTGAACGTTATATTTTTCTATTATTTCTGTGGTTACTCACTTTATATTCAACCAACGTTCTAGTAACTTATTATTATTTGCTGTTTCCCGATCACATTCTGCCGCCCCCTTTCCATTTGTCTTACAGCTCAGCAATACCCGGAGGATTCATAATAATCGTTTGGCAACCTCCTGCGTGCGACTACTCCCAACATGTTTGGTGCCGATTCAAACTGCCATTGAATCCAGTGGGAGAGTATTTTGGGGTCAGCGAAATGTCACTGAGCCCTAGACATATCATCCGGCAGTTGGGTTACTGAATATCAAACAGATCATCGATCCTTGTCAGGGTCAAATACAAACAACGTGCATCAGTTAATCGTATGTCATGGACTGGGCCATGTGGTAATGGCCACATTTTCACTTGTACTTAATTTAACTAATATATTTGTGTAATAACGTCATTTATGTTGTACAGTCCTCAAAGCATCCATAGTACGAAGGGGTATTACGCGTTATGTGCTGACCGTGAGGTGGGACTCCGATGTTAGCTGTTGGTCACACTATTCTCGTCTAATTCGAGTAGGCCCACAATCATTTGACAGAGATCATCAACGTTGATGATGCACAATATCATCTACATTTTTTGAAAAGTGGAGAAAACGTGGTCGCATTGTAGGACCATACATAAAAATTAGACAGAAGTAGAAAATCATCATCCCTGGAAATCTAATTATCTTCTTGGGTGACAAGTGTGACGGACAATTTTTTAAAGATTTGTTTGAGATCGTTTTTACAAGCTGGTTACCTACAAGGTGTTTTAGGAACCTTAAGGATTTCTTCCCAAATGAATAGTTTCCATGATATGTAACTGTCCCACATTTGTCCAGTCTTCCAGAAACCATTTTCCGGTGACTTGGGTGCTCAGTGTCATATTTACTGGCAATAGATTGATTCTAAATATAAGGACATAAAAAGTCTCACTCATTCAATAATTGAACCCACATTGTTCAGACATGACTTTTAGGCGAAACAAATAAATAAACTTTTGGTTATCACCCAACAACAGCTAAGTCATATTCAGATGACCGCAAGTATCTGTTATTTTTAAACCTACGTGACTTCATGCAGCAAGTAGTGTCTGGCCTGACCAACAAACTTTCTGTAGTATCAGGATACAATTAACTGACTTATCTAATTCGGATTTTTTCATATACCCTTCCCCCAAATTGTTCTCGGAGTTGTTTATTGCTGTGAGAAATCATCAAGACTCTACATTCTCCGTCCATTGTTTCCTTCAGGGCTTTAAGATTGTCATTTGGAATTAAATGGCTTACAATGGGCAAAACAGACAATAGATCTTGTCGTATATGCAATTTACAATCCTTATCAGTTTGTTGCCCTGCCACCAAAACCAAGTGTCCGTTGTATGTTTTGTGGCATTGGCAGAAGTTATTGACAGTGAAGGACTTCAGGGTCATTCAAAAGGTTATCCACGTCCTTCTTTAGCCATAGCTTCCTTCAACTGTGGTATCACAAAGCAACTGATTTCTTGCAGATAACAGTGATCCTGACTCTGTAAAATATCTGTTAGCTATCATTTTCTCGAAATTGTTTAGTTAGTAAGAAACTGTTCCTGCGCAATCTTTGGTTTTGTCTTGGTATCTAGTAAGGTAAATTACATCTTCACTATACGTTTTATTGTTATATTATCATTATTTTTATGCACTCCATGACTCAAAATAGTAAGATAAAACCAGACCATCCTGGACGTAGCAATATATCAGAAGAGTGTTCACGAGCAGCACACTTTTCAGGTTCAAACTTTTTGCTGGTCACGTCTTTGAGTCATCGCTACCGCAACAAGGGGAGTAGGATGTAGTGGTCAATAAATTCAAAAAATAAATGTTATTCTAAGTCTTCGACATTGGTGCTGACCTTACTAGTTACTAGATACGTCAGGTTGTACATCTCTTACAACAACTAGCCAATTTAAATAATATACTTCTCAACACATTGATCATCTTCGAAATATTATCTTCGAACTCTTTCATTCCTAACCTCTGGTTTACATGACTTTGGGATCTTCGACTAAAAAGCGTTATGGATAACAGCGTTGTTAAACACTGAATATCAATGATATCTTTACCGTCATTTAAAAATTAATTTCCATAGATTAAGAATAGTGTAATATGAAAATGTTAAAAGATAGAGTCCATGATCATGGGGTTTAATAAATGCTTATCGATCTTGATCATAAATCACTCGAATTCCAGCACTTGACGTACAATAACTAGGTAAATTTGTTTACAACTTGAACTAGGTTCGATTTCACAAAAAATTTCCAGTGAATGTATCGTATAAGTAAAAGCCAATCAGAATAGAGAACATGACTTTTA